TTCCGTCATATTTTTGGTATTTTCTTACGTTTTCTGGAGTTCTGTGGACTTTACGATTAGGCTATCTGAGGCCCATGAAGTTCTTCGTACTGCTTTAAAATGAATATAACTGTCCTGAAAACCTTTAGACGTCCCTGAAGTTCTCTAAAGTAATGTAAAGTTTCTGTAATATTTCTGATATTTTCATGCGTTTTCAGGAGTTCTCCTGACTTTACCGACTAGGCTCTCTAAGGCCCCTGAAATTCTTGGTACTGTCCTGAAATAAATGGAACTGTCCCGAAAACCTTTACAGATCCCTGAAGTTCTCTGGAGTACTGTGAAGTTTCCGTAATATTTCTGATATTTTCTTAACCTCTGTGGAGTTCCCTGGGGTTTACCGACTAGGCTATCTGAGGCCGCTGAAGTTCTTGGTACTGTTCTGACATAAGTAGAACTGTCCTGAAAACCTTTAGACATCTCTGAAGGTCTCTGGAGTACTGTGAAGTTTCCGTAAAATTTCTGATATTTTCATGCGTATTCAGGAGTTCTCTGGACTCTACCAACTAAGCTATCTGAGGCCCCTGAAATTCTTGATATTTTTCAGAAATAAATAGAACTGTCCTGGAATCCTTTAGGCATCCCTGGTATTGTTTAACACTCTTTGGAGTTCTCTGGACCTTATCTACTAGGCTATCTGAGACCCCTGAAATTCTTTGTACTGTCCTTAAATAAATAAAACTGTCCCGAAAACCTTTACACATCCCTGAAGTTCTCTGGAGTACTGTGAGGTTTCGGTAATATTTCGGATATTGTCTTGCGTTTTCTGGAGTTTTCTGTACTTTACCGACTAGGCCCATCTGAGGCCCCTGAAATTCTTGGTACTGTCCTAAAATAATTGGAACTATCCCCAATACCTTTACACATCCCTGAAGTTCTCTGGAGTACTGTGAAGTTTCCGTAATACTTCTGATATTTTCTTACGCTTTCTGGAGATCACTGGACCTTACCAATTAGGCTATCTGATGCCCCTGAAATTCTTGGTACTGTCCTGAAATAAATGGAACTGTCCCAATACCCTTTAGACATCCCTGAAGATCTCTGGAGTAATGTGTTATTATGTATTATTTTTGGCATTTCTTAAGCTTTCTGGAATTATCTAGACTTTCCTGAAACTCCTTGAACTCCTTACGGAATTTTACAGAAGTTAATAAAACTGTCTTGAATTTTGTCGGAATTTAACCTTACAGATCTTTAATCATACCAGCAGGTCTGGACTTTCCTGAAGTTCGTGGAACATCGCTGAAATTATTGGACTCACCCTTAGGAGCTCTGAAAATACATTAAGATATCTGTAATACTTGGATATTATTCAATGATTAAAAAAATCTTCAATATCTTTCTTCTCTGAAGTTTTCTTGATTTCCCTGAAGTTCTCTGGATATCTCTAAAGTTCTCAGACCTTCTTAAAAGGTCCTGAAATTTTCCTGAAGCTAATGAAACCGCTTATGAAATTTTTGACGCTTCGTTGAAGTTTCCGTAATATTTCTGATATTTTCTTAAGGTCTCTGAAGTTTTCTGGACTTTCCCAACTAAGGTATCTGAGGCCGCTGAAGTTCTTGGTACTGTTCTGACATAAATAGAACTGCCCTGAAAACCTTTAGACATCTCTGAAGTTCTCTGGAGTACTGTGAAGTTTCCGTATTATTTCTGATATTTTCATGCGTTTTCTGGAGTTCTCTGGACTTTACCGACTATGCTATCTAAGGCCCTTGAAGTTCTTGGTATTTATCTGAAATAAATAGAACTGTCTTGAAAACCATTAGACATCCTAATATATTGTTTTACACTCTTTGGAGTTCTCTGGACTTTACCGACTAGACCTATCTGAGGCCCCTGAATTTCTTGGTACTGTCCTAAAATAATTGGAACTGTCCCGAATACCTTTACACATCCCTGAAGTTCTCTGGAATACTGTAAAGTTTCCGTAATATATCTGATATTTTCTTAAGCTTTATGGAGATCTCTGGACCTTACCGATTAGACTATCTCATGTCCCTGAAATTCTTGGTACTGCCTTGAAATAAATGGAACTGTCCCAAAAACCTTTAGACATCCCTGAAGATCTCTGGAGTACTTTGAAGTTTCCCTATTATTTTTGACATTTCTTACGCTTACTGGAATTATCTAGACTTTTCTGAATTTCCCGGAACTCCTTACGGAATGTTACAGAAGCTAATGGAACTGTCTTGAATTTTGTCGGAATTTACCCTTACAGATCTTTAATCATACCAGAAAGTCTGGACTTTCCTGAAGTTTTTAGAACATCCCTGAAAATATTGGACTCACCCTTAGGATCTCTGAAAATCCTTAAAGATCTCTGAGATACTTGGAACTTCTTTCAAGATTTAAGAAAAAAAAAATCCTCAGTACATCTCTTCTCTGAAGTTCCCTGGATATCTCTGAAGTTCTCAGAACTTCATAAAAGATCGTGAATTTTTCCTGAAGCAAATTAAACCGCCTAAGAAATTTTTGACGCTTCGCTGAAGTTCCCAAAACTTTCCAAAATATTTCGGAACATCCCTTACGTTCCGTATTTTTTTTATTCTGTGAAATTCTCAGCATTTCATTTCATTCCTGAGAACATTTTTAAAGTTCCTAAAAATTTTATGAATTTAATGGAACTGTTCTGAAGATCTCGCAATTCTCCAGATCATGATCCTGAACTTCCCTGAAGCTGTGTGGACTTCATGAATAAACAAAAAAAAATCGGTGGATTTCTCGAATTTCTCTTAAATTCACTACAGTTCCTTTGAGTTCTTTGGACTATCCTCAAGTTCTAGATAGAGCTCGAATTAGGGCGTAACAACTTTTGTAAACAATGACTTCTTTTGATGTTTTCTAGGAAATCAAGGCACGTCCACGCAAACCAACATAACCATCGGGTAGGGGAAGTCTTCTTCTACCCGATGAGGATGTTGGTTTGCGTGGGCGAGCCTTGAATTTTTAGAAATCATCGATAGAAGTCATTGTTTACAAAAGTTGTTTGGCCCTAATTCCAGCTCCATCTAGGGTTATCGGAACTTCTTGAAGGTTCCTGCTATTTTCCTGAAATCATGCAACTGCCCTAAAGTTTTCAGAACTGCCATGTAGTTCACTGAAACAATCTTACAGTTTTCCAGAAATTAATAGAACTGCAGAAATTAATAGAACTGCAGAAATTAATAGAACTGTGAGCCTGATCGATTCGTCATTTGGCGTGGAGCTGCTCAATATCGAAATAAAAAAAATTACCTACCGATGATGCTTGATTATTTCCTCCGCTCGCACACGGCATTCTTCATCCAGCTAATGGACATGGCGCGTCTACCGGCAGAGTGGAGAACGCCGTTTCTCTAAGCGCCGCGCCAGCCAACCGGCTGACGTCAATATCATATCGACCATGGCTACACTCCACACTCTTTTCTGCTGGCTCACAATGAAAATGATATCGCACAAGACGCTCTGTTGACTGAATTCATTCAATTCCCTGCTCAATGCTTCATGACTTCCAATTTCCCAATATTTACAAAACAAAGCTCCCAAAGGAACTGTACTGGCTGTTTACAAACAAATGTCTGTCATAAACGCCCCCCAGCCTTCTAGGATACATTCGAAAACAAACATACCTGCCCGCACATTGTTGCACGATCACGCTGATCACTGAAATGCATTCTTCGGTTGGCTCGGTTCAAACCCATGGAAAAAAGGCTACCTACCGGGTCGTGAAAGCCATGAATTCCACTTGATTTATTTGGATTTGTGATGTCTCGGACCGGTGGGGCCCGGCCGGCTACAATACTGTATTCCTAATGGACGGTGCCGGCAGAGGCTAGGCTATGACGTCAATCAAAGACCGGTGAGACGATCCACCACGGTGCGCAGAGGGGATGATGGCAAGCCACAGCAAACAAACTCGAACGGCTGGAAAGTTACTTTTGTTTTACGCCGCATGTCAAAGTATGCGTTGATACATTTTGAATGCTTGGATTGGTTCTGATGAATCGATAAAATCTGAGTAAGCCTACTTATCGGATTGAACACTAGTTGAAACCTAAGGGGAAGAGGAGACAATACGGGGGCGAAAACGAACCACTTTTCTGTCAAACGCGAACCAGCTTGTGATTGGCCGATTTGAAGTTTACGCATACGAGATAAAAGAGTAAGAAGCCAGTTGTCTTCTTCCTCTTAGGTTAAAACCAAATCGACTTCGGCAGGCATCTTAAGGTCATTTGTGACAACTGTCAAACATTCTGTTTCCGTTCCACTTTCGCCCACATTGCATTTGGGTCTTTATCCTCAGAAAACCTTTTAAAGTCTGTTTACAATTCTCTTCGAATTCACGTCAATACTTTCTTGGAATTTTTTAGAATTCTTAACATTTACTTACTATCCTTCTCAAGATTCCCAAAAAAATATCTTCAGAATCACCTAGGAATTCTGCTTGAAGTTCTTTTCACAATTCCCTTGGAAATATTCTAAGAATTAGCTAGGAATTATATTCAGGACTTCCTTCATTCTGTCAAGAAATTCTTTGAAATTAATCTCAGAATTTCGACATTATCTCCGAACTCCCTGTGCATTTTTACCAGAATTTTGTATTAATTCCTCGCGGATTTTCTCTTGAATTAACATTTAAATTCCTTTTAAATTCTCCTAAATGTTGCATAGATATTCTTAGATTATTTGGAATTATAGATTTCCTCAATTACTATTATTCCAAACTAAACTTCCTTTTCCAAAACTTTGAAGGATCCTGAATTTACCAAAACCTTAATTCGAAGAAAATTAAAACAAAAGCAAAAAACCAACAACCAACGAGGGGTGGAAAATCAAAAGATTCAGCGGACCTTCGGTGAGACGCATCAACCGATAAGACTTCAATCGTATCTCAACCGATTGCAACCGTTTTCCATGGAGCGCAGATACAGCAGGTCATCAATGTCCAACGCCTTTCCCCTATTGCACGTCAATCATCTTCCATCTACGTCTTTCCTTATCTTTATTACACGGTAACATAACAATAAGAAGTAACAATAATACATATTAGCACATCACTCGCTTCTGAGCGCATCGGAGATTTATATATACATACACACACAGCAGAAGATCTTGCGTGTAACCTGTTATCGGACTAGTCAATACACCCAAATTTGTCTGAACTCTAGAGTAACCTTAAGCGCTACCAAACAAACGACGAATCGCATCAATCAATGGTTACAAACCTTCTTTTTGGTTGGCCGCTTTTTGGCGTTCAGGTCCGGGAACGCCTTCTCGTTGAGATCACTGCAGACCACCGGTGGCCGTAGACCGAGATCCTGCAACCGTTGCTTCAGAACGCCATCGTCCTCTTCGCAGCTCAGGGTGGAACAGGTCGAACAGTCGGATACCTTCCGTTCCGGTGTCCGCAGGCCGCACTGATAGTCACAACCTTCCAACGCACTGATCGACGAGCCGCAGTAGTTCAAATTACTACATGACGAGGCCGCACTAACGTCCGAGTCGCAATCGGTGGATGCCCGGCGAAGCCGATGTCTCCGGAGGTATTCTATTTCCTCGAGGGTAATGCCGCACATGGTGTCATCGGAGTAGTCCGATACGACTACGGATGGTGTCCGAACGTAGCGAACTCCGTCGACTCCGGAATCGCTAACGTAGCTCTGGGCGGACTCTCGGCGGGAGATCGAATTGCTAGGACAGCCGAGGGCCTCCGTTGAACCGGAGTCTGCGAGGGGTGAATAAGAAGCAAGCGGGAGTTCGATGAGCTGAGCTTCCAGGATCATTTTGCTGCGAACGACCGTCGGGCAGTGGTCTCCGGTGGTGGGTACATTGTCCGAGGTCGGGAGCAGTGCTGGTTCTGCCACAGGCAGAAGTGCTGCGCGCAGGGGAATATCCAACACCCCGAGAGTTAGACGGCGCGTCTTGCCGACAGTGTTGATGATCTGCTGTTGCTCCTGTTGACCGATGTCTTCATCCAACCCGAGGGCGGAATCTGAACTCGACGAACGGGTGACCTTGTCTCGGTTTTTCATCTTCAGCTGTACTCTACCTGAGCTTTCTTCGTCACTTGAACAGTAAGGACTCTGCTGAGTGGTACTCCAACCGTCGTCCGATACGGGACTTCTAGTTTCTCGAATGCGAGCTGAACTGCTGGCATCCAGCTGCTCTACCAGTGCTGTACTGCTTACCGTACTCGACTGTACTTCAGTGGCAACGTTAGCACCTGTCTTATCACCAGCCACGACTGCCGTCTTATCTAATCGCCTTTTATCACCGTCTACCCGCCCACCTCTACCCTTCTTGCCACCAACGGCTATACTGTTCAGGAAGGTCTGCGTTTCGGCTTCCTTCTGCTTGATAATGTTTGCATACATCTCAATAAGCCGTTCGACGCACGGAAACCGGACCATGTCCTCGTCACTTTCGACCCCGGAGGAAAACGACCCGGATCCGGACCCGGAGCGTCGTTCTCCTTCGCCATCTCCGTCCCAGTAACGCTTGTAGACGGCTGTCTTCCGCTGCCGCGGTCTGCCACCACTGCCAACCGCTTTTGTACCGGTCATTTCACCCTCGTCGTCGTCGTCGTTGTAGTCTTTAACGGCCTTATCAGCCAGCTCAAGCGAGCAACTAAAGATACCGTTGTCTCCTGCCGTCTCCTTCGCACCTCGTCTGCCCAGCACCGAACAAATATGGCCAGTAGCTCTGACAGCGGCTTTGACGTCAGTTGTCGACTGAGATTCAAACATACCCACTATGCCGGCCACCGTTACAGAACACGATGAAGAAGTGGAAGCAGCAGCGACAGCAGGTTCGGTCATCCCGATTGGCCCGATTAATCACAACCGCTGTCCACAATCATCGGATAACTGTGCATTTGCGTTGAGCGGAGGGAATTTCCCAAAATTTGATGTCATTTGAATTTCCGAGCTTACGGCTGGATTACTAACCGAGGACGGAAGGTTCCATGACTGCGTTTTGAGGACGTGGTGCAGTCGGATCTGGTCGGTCTACGGTTATCTACGGGCGGTGTGTGTGCTCCAAAGTGCGCACGCGGATAAATCTGAAAGGAAAACAAAAACAGATAAGGAAATGAAATTAGTATGGTGACGGTGGCGGCGGTGGTGGATTGCTATTAAACAAGCTGACACTGATGGCATGGCAGTGTGGAGTGCGGCCCAGCGGCAGGAAGATGGCAAACTGGAATTGATTGAGTGGACTGCTAATGAGGTGAAGATAGCACCAGGGGAATGTTCGGAGAAATGTTGATCCCGTGATTGAATTTGTTTGCTGAAAGCAGTCAGTCGGTTCTGATTTACAGCTGATCAATTTTTATCGAACCAAATTTCACAAGGGCAGTGACGGTACTTGAATTGGCACCAATTCATTTACAACCGACAACATTTCTAATTATTATTACTCACTTCATTACTCATAGTACGTCACAAAGCAATGTTGGGAAATGTCAATCCAACGTCAATTTGGAATCCAAAAATAAAGATTGGCACCGCAAATGACATTAACATTCAGACTGAAACATGATTTGGCTGTTTCATAAGAGGGAAGTTTCAAATATTATTGTAGAATAAGAGTGATTTGATAAGCTGTGATTACTCATGGTTACTCCGTGAGTGACCAGCTCCGAAAACTGCTCTGATCAAAGCTGGGAATGAAAATGTGCAAGGAAATTTTCGGACGACCATATAGATTACCCAGTGGCGTGCGCAAGGGGGGACGTGCCCCCTCCCACCCTAATTGATTTTGAGTTCACACCCCATGTGCCCTCCTTATGTTTTTCACCCACACAAAATAATTTTAAGCTATCAAAACAATTATAGATTTTGAGTAGACAACTCCCCGTTGATGGATCGAAGTAGGCCACGCTGGAAATTCGACGTGTTTTGTTTTTGCTGCTATTTATTTTTCGCGAATTTTACGGAGTGTTCAGCAGTGACCATGGCAATACAGTGATAGATGGTGGACTTGGGATAAAGGGTGATACGGTCAAAATTTGGTCAATATCAACTTGACGTATTTCTTTCAATTTTGCATTTAAAAAACCTGAACACCCCTCATTTTGAAGGTGTGTGTGTGTAGAATGTTGCTCCTATTTTGATTTTGGAATTCACTCTTCAGTTGTTAAAATGCCGTCCAAGCAAGAAGAGCAGCGTATCAAAATTTTGCTCGCGCATCGCGAAAATCCGAGCTACTCGCACGCAAAGTTGGCAAAATCGCTAAAAGTTGCCAAATCAACCGTTACAAATGTAATTAAAGTGTTTGGGGAACGTTTGTCGACAGCCAGGAAGTCTGGATCGGGGGGAAATCGAAAACCGGAAGCCGCTGAGACGACAAAGAGAGTTGCCGGTAGTTTCAAGCGAAACCCTAACCTCTCTCTCCGAGATGCCGCAAATAAGCTGGGTGTATCGTCTACAACCGTGCATCGAGCCAAAAAACGAGCCGGACTATCGACTTACAAGAAGGTAGTGACTCCAAATCGCGATGATAAACAAAATACGACGGCCAAAGCGCGATCCCGGAAGCTGTACACGACGATGTTGACGAAGTTTGACTGCGTGGTAATGGACGACGAAACCTACGTCAAAGCCGACTACAAGCAGCTTCCGGGACAGGAGTTTTATACGGCAAAAGGAAGGGGAAAGGTAGCAGATGTTTTCAAGCACATGAAACTGTCAAAGTTCACAAAGAAATATCTGGTTTGGCAAGCCATCTGTACCTGTGGCTTGAAAAGCAGCATTTTCATAGCTTCCGGGACTGTCAACCAAGAAATTTACGTGAAAGAGTGTTTGAATAAACGTCTGCTGCCTTTCCTGAAGAAACACGGTTGTTCCGTACTGTTTTGGCCGGATTTGGCATCTTGCCATTACGGTAAAAAGGCCATGGAGTGGTACGCCGCCAACAACGTGCAGGTGGTTCCCAAGGACAAGAACCCTCCCAACACGCCAGAGCTCCGCCCAATTGAGAAATACTGGGCTATTGTCAAGCGGAACCTAAAGAAGACCAAAAAAACTGCTAAGGGCGAGCAGCAGTTCAAGGCAAACTGGCTTTCTGCGGCGAAGAAGGTGGACAAGGTGGCTGTACAAAATCTGATGGCAGGGGTCAAGCGTAAGGCCCGGCAATTCGGATTTGGAAAAGCGGAAGCCTAACTGAATATTTTTCCTGAATTTTATACTAATTGAACTTGAAAAAGAAATTTAATTTGATTTTTTAAATAAACGATTTCACCGATTTACACGCGTTTTCCGTTGACCAAATTTTGACCGTATCACCCTTTAGACAGCGAGCAAGGAGTCAACATCGAACCAGGAACGGAAATTAGTGCGGATTTATCTCCCTTGGAAAACAAGACAACCCGGAAAAGGCGGAATCATGTCAGAACCGGCTAAGGACGATCTACGGAAGGAAATTGCCGGTGAGGCACGGCATGAAATACAAAGCGTTAGATAAAAAGTACAAAGGATTCCAAAACAAGCAATTAACGGCGACAGACCAGCGGAGCATGGTGAGACCGGGCTAATTATTCTTTATAAATTAAATATCAAAATTAAACTAAATACGCGCCAGGTTTGAAAAGAATATTTTCGAATCTGTAAGTGCGTATGTAATGCGCATGCGGCGCTTATTGTGAGTGAAAGTAACCTCGGAATGAGTGTGACTCTCCAAACATTCTGAAATGGGTTGCTAGATCTGCAATAGAGCTATCACCTTCTAACTCCCGCACTAAAACTATCTACAATGACCATTAGAGTGATGCAAAATTTGAAATTTTCGCTCCACAATACTTAAACGATTCCAAATCGGATCCTGACTAACCTCTCAAAATTTGAACCCATTTGGTGAGAAACTGAGATGGCACAAACCATTTGAAGTTTGTGAGGGAATTACTATGGTAAAACCAAGATTTTTGTTCATGTCTATCTAATAATTCACCATATGGATCTGCTTCAAAAGTTTTCAACTTTATTTGTAGGAAATTTTCCCAGCTACAACTTTGTGGAAGACCACTTTTTGATTAAAGGATCGAAAGTTATCAATGGTTCAATGCACTGATGTCTTATGATCATGCTCAATCAACTGCTCAGCAGGCAACATTGGTGTTTCTGAGGCGTTGAATAGGACACACAAATCATGGCTACTATGTCAGACTGCAAAATACAGTGTTGCCTACAGAGCAGCTGCTTGATCATGTCATAAGTTTACCAATCTCTTAAATAATTAATAACTTTTTCCTATCTCGTTTTACATAGAAACAATTTTCAGCAAAGTTGTAGCTGAGAAAATTTTCTATAAAAATGGCTATCGAACTGTTTCGCAGCTCAATATGGGAAAAGACTAGAAGGCAATGAACAAAAAGTTAAGATTTCCCATAGTAATTTACATGTAAACTTCAAATGGCTTGTGCGAAGTCTGTTTCTAACCAAATGAGTTGTAACTTTGAGAGGCTAATCAGGACCCGATTTGAAAACATTTAAGCACTTTTGAGCGATAAAGTCATATTTTGCATCAGTCTAATGGGTATTTCCGGAAAGGGGACGACGTTTAGAAGCCGGAAATCGATGCCAGACGTCATTTTGTTATTCAAGATGGTGGCCATAGGTTCAAGAAAAACTGTCAAATACCCTACAATATGGGTATTTTCGGAGAGGGGATGACGTGTAGAGGCTGGATATCGATTAAAGTCGCCATTTTGGAATCAAAGCTGGCGGGCATCAGTTCAATAAAAACTGTCAAATTCCAAAATGTGGGTGTTGATTAAGTTAAGTGTGGGAACGACGTGTAGAGATCAGATATCGATGCCAGACGCCATTTTGAAAATGAAGATGATGGCCTTTGCTTTAGCGTACACTTTTAATGGGGACGAAGTGCATAGGCCCAAAATCGATGTCTGCCACCATTTTGGGATCCAAAATGGTGGCAATTGGCTTTCGAAGGGACATTTAGTGGCTATGGACAACCTCGTATCAGTTCAGCACAGTTAACGTCGACCGTGTATGGAGTAGGTTTGGCGATAATCCACTAGGAAGATGAATTTTGTTTAATTAATGTTTTAGGGTATTTTGGAGCTCAAAATCTTGCCTCGCATTAATTTTCCTGAATAATGCTTACCAAGCATGCTGCGTATTATTTGTATAATGTGTATAACGTATTATTGAGCAAGATGGCAACGTTTCGTCTTCCCTTAGCAAATCTTGGATTTTTGCACTATGTTCGTCATAACTGTCCAATGTGCAGAAGCTTTCGAACTCGGAGAGTTGATTTATTTTGAACTCGATTTCTGCCGTGGTGGGATGAAAATATAATCCATATTCATTGTAGATGGGTTCAGTTCGCTAACAATTTCATCTGCTGTAGCCGGTTTATCTCTTATGATTTCGTTGATTTCACCGTATTTCTTATCCACGACGCACTAAACTTTCCGTGCATTTGTTGAATTTCGGGCATGATCTGCAAATCCTCGTTGTCGTCTTCATTGCATTCGTAACTTCTCTTGACATACCTCAGCTTGAAATTTTTGATGATGCCTTGATCAAGGGGTTGAATCAAAGACGTGATCTTTGGTGGCATGTATAGGTGCATTATGTTGGGATTGCTTATGGTTGGCGGATGCAACGGAGCGTTATCAAGAAGCAGCAAAGCCTTGAAGCTAATGTTCTTGGCTGCGCAAAATTCCTCCAACTGTGGTGAGAAGCAGTCGTTTATACAGTCCTCAAATAATTATTGTTGCCACGACAATGCCCAGGGAGATTTACTTCCTGTAAATTTTGCTTTAGAGAAAAAAAACATGATTGAGAACCCTTGTTTGTCCCCATTTGGTCCCGGCATTGTTTTCAGGTGCTCTGAGTCATAAGATCTTTGAGGCATTTTTTTTTCTAAAACAGTTTTGTTTCATCACAATTGAACACTTGTTTAAGGCAATACTGAATACTTTAAATTTCTTTTTCAACCAACGATCAAATGGCATCGATTTCTGGCCTTTACACATCGTCCTTTTTCCGGAAATACCCATATTGTAGGGTATTTGACAGTTTTTCATGAAACGATGAC